CCCGGCCGCACGCGCTCGGGCGGGCGACGCCCCCCGGGGGCCCCGCGGTTAATCACCCTCGCCCCGCACAAAGCGCGCGCTCTCCACGTCAATCACGCGAGCGGGACCCCGGGCTCGGGGCGCGGGCGGGGGCGCCGAGCGGGGGAGAAGAAAAGCCGGCTGGGGAGGGGATGGGGGAGGAAACTCGATTTCCTTAATAACGTCAATTAAAAGAGCAAGACACATATATATTGTTAAAAGGGGGGCTTTTTGAATAGGATAACCCGAAAGGTGAAGAGGTTTAATAGGATACTTGAAAGCTAATTACAGCGGGATTTAAGAAGCCTGGTGTTTGTTCCTACGACGATTTGAATGAAAATGCTTCAGATTAAACCAAGCCAGCGGCTCTTTCTCTTTCGTAAACTTGCGGCAATTAGAGCCGTGAGTGATTTACACTCGTTTCTTTAAGGTGTAAATTGCCACTTATTGCTCAGTAAGTCAACATTTGAGCTGCTAAAGGATTATTTTTAACCAAGCGCAAAAAGCGGGTCGAATAATGGAAAATATCCAGCTGAATTTAATTTGTGCCATTAGGAAAAAAAAACACCCTCGCCCAACCTCGGTCAGAATGTTTTAAAGCAACAACGCGCGTTACTCAAGTGTTTTCAAGCTTTTTGTTGGAGTTTTGTTCCGAATAGAAAACGCAGCCTCCCCGGGCTTTTTCGGTCTTAGTTTAGGAAAACTCTAGCTCGGGGGCTGGTGGGTCCCCGAACTGCGGGGCCGCACCTCTGAATTTCGGGGTCCTCGCTCCCCCTCTTCTTCCTGAGGGTGCCGGCTGCGCCACCGCGGACGTGGGTGTCCCCGGGGCCCTCTGAGGGTGCCTCCGGGAAGCGCGGTCCCCACGCGGGGCGTCCGCGGAGAAGCCCGGATCCCCGGCCGTGAGCAGCGGCGCGGGTGCGCGTCCTGCCCGGCCTCCAACCGGCTGCAGGCGATTCCCAAATTTAACGCGAGACACACCCACGGGTCTCGCCTCCAGAGTGCGGGGAGAACCCTCCAGGGTCCCCCAGCTACTCAGACCCACCTTTGGACTCCTTTTGCGCCCGGGGTTTGCTGCCTTTATTTTAAACAAAATGGTTCTTCGGGCCCGCCCTGCCATCCCCCTGGGTCCGCCGTGGGTCCGCGGCGCGCGGGTCGCCGGCGTCCGGAGTCCTTGCGTCTCAGCTCGCAGGAGCCTGGCGGGTCCCCCCGCCAGCCGCCCGGTCCCCGCGTCCCGCTGCCCCGACCGCCAGGATCGCCACCGCGACCCGCACCGCCACCACCACCACCGGCAAACAGAACAAAAGCACGACTCACTTGGACCCGAGAGCGCCTTAGGCTCGAGGCTTCCTCTCCTAAATTACGGTCTCCATGCCTCGGGTTAAGTGAGCTTGTGGGGAGGGGGGGCAATGATTACTGACAAACGCTGCTACGTAATAAAAAAAAACTGCCGGGGCTGAGGACGAGGCCGTTGCAGGTAGTTTCTGAACCTCGTTTAGGAGCCCAAGGAGCTCGCTTTCCGAGGAAAACTGCGGTTCAACTGATCTGGCTAGGCGTCGGCTCACTCACCTTCTCGGGGGGAACGGCCAGCCCCGGCACGTCCTTTTCCTCTAGTTTACACACAAACATCGGGTCGCTCTTCCAATACATGGCACTGCTGGGGCTGCTTGTCACATTCCAGCTCCGGCGGGGCACAGGCTGTCGAGGTCTGCGGATCGCCTCCCTCTCCGCCCCAAAGAGCCTGATAAAAGCTAAGGCGAAGGACAGCAGAGCCACAAGCGAGACTCGGTCCAGGGAGGCCACGGTAGCCGTCACCACCCTCTGACCTTCTGTTCTTAAGATTCCTTTCCCAACTTCACTGAGGTCTGTCCCTCCAGGAAAAAAAAAAAAAAAAAAAAAAAGTTTTGTTTTCCAGAGGGTGGAACCTTCCACAGAGGGAGGGGTGTGTGGGGAAAGTTTTCCTGCAGAAATAGCCTCACCTCCTAAGGAAAACCCGCCTTCTCTACATGTTAAGATCTTTATCAGGACAAGCCAATTTACTCCAGGTTTGGTATTAAAGCGGGAAAAGAAAAAAAAATCTTGGGACGGCCTGTTAACTTGATTAAAAAAAAAAAAAAATCTGCTCTCTGCCTTTGCCTTGTCTTTTAAATTCTCGCTCCCCAACCAAAACCTAAACAAAGATTCAGGTTACATCTCTTTCAGCAGAGAGCGGGAACGGAGCTGGAGCTGGAGGTCTCCGGCGCACTTGAACGGTTTAGTCTTTCCCTGGAATCGCGCATCTCTCCAAGTAGTGGAGAAACGAGAGCGCTCCCTGGCCGCCCCGGGGGCTGACTTATCTAACGGGTCGCTCTCCTTTTGCGAAAAGTTCTCTCATTGAGAGAAAGAAGGAGACCGGGGGATTTAGCCCAGTGGCCCAGCGCCTGCCTGGCAAGCGTGAGGTCCTGAGTTCGATTCCTGGTACCTAAGAGAAGAAAAAAAGAGAAAGAGAAAGAAGGAACATCTGGGCAGCACAAAAGCTTATGATTTGCGACTAGATTTGAAATCGAGTCTACGAGAAAGGCAAAAGTATGTTGCTGACGAGTATTATTCTTTTCATCTCATCCTAGACAATTTAGGTCCTGGAAGAGGCAGCTGCTGCCTCAAACTGGCGCGCACGGGGGTGGGGTAGGCAGACACCTTAATTTTGATTAGGATTGGAGGACGTGTTTGTTTAAATAGCTCCTTGTGGTATAGATTTACTTCATTATTTAATGTGTGAAGACGAATTTGGTAAGAGATGACTTTTAAATCATTTTTTAAATTTCCAATGTGCCCCTCGTAAGAAAAAAATCTTCTGAAGCATTAGAATATCTGGAAGTCTCTAACCAAAACATGTGATGTTGCTTTCCATAGACAGAAATCTATATTTTAAACATATCTGCACACATATAGCATTATTTCTTTGTTCTATTTGTCTAAAAAAATATATCGATCCTGCGCAGACCAGCCTGCAGCAGGCTAGTAGAAGGGCAGGCTCGCCAAGGGGAGCCTGACACTTTCCTGCCAGGAAGAGAGCCTGTGTACCAGTCTGGAGCAAGGCAAGACTGCAAGTTTGTTTTCCCTCAATCCTATTTCTGTCTCATAAACAGAAGCCTTTCCTTATTGGCATTGTTTTCCTTTTTGAGCAGCTGTGCACAAGTCACTATTAGCCATGCAGATCTGATCCTACATGGGACAGACATCTCAAGGGGAGAGAGGGAGATGCTATGATTAACCTGGGTCCTCCTAGAGAACTGAGGACGTGGGGTGGGTCGACTTTCTGCAAAGCTAACTTGTGCGCGAGGGCCAAAAAGGCTCGTGTTTTTCATCAAGTGCAAAAATCGGTACGGGGGATGGATCCACATGCTGCGTTTCCCGTGAAGCAGCATTGTTCTCGAAATGGCTATTCCGAATGGAAATTCTTGCACAGCGTTGGCGCCATCGGGCCGTGCACAGAGCAGAATTCTGTTGAAAGTGAAATTAAAAATAGAGGTCCCATTTGGAGATTTAATTAGAATTTCTTTGTGTGAAGTTTTGCAAAGTGAATCTGGAGTGCTGTTTGACTGATACCGACGATGATTTGCACCGGTCATTTGGAGATGCCGGAGAGCGTTAGAGCTGTTTGGGGAAGTAGGGCGGGGGCGCTGGCGTTTTATGCGGTCTTTCCACCCACCCTCGCCTAATCAGGGGGCTCTCAATCGGGTTTTCAAAATACTAATCTTGATCTAAGAGCTCCTGTCTCTGCATAAGTGGAGGAAATGATTCATTTTTAGAGGCTTCTGGGTTTCGGGAAGGATGGTCCTCAGACATAAGCAGAAGACTAGCAGAGCGGCCTGGGGTCCGCCGCTCTCCCAGCGCAGAGGCCAGTGCAGACCTGCCCGCTCCCTCGGTGTCATTCCGCGCACCCAACCTGCTCGGTAGGCCTCCCGGTGAGTCTATTTCTGAATCTCGGGCGGTGGGAGCCTTTGGCTGGGGCTCATGTGCGGAGGTGGGCAGAGGGGCATGGCCAGATACTTGTCAAGGCTGGGCACCCCGCCCGTCTTGGGCCCAAAGACCTCTGGAGAGCGAGCAGATTGAGGAGGTACAGCTGCCCGCGTGGACCGGGCTCCTTCGCACCTCCAACCGGCACTCCTCCTGGACTCGGGCCCAGAAAAAGTTCTCCTGCTGCTCTATAGAGTGCCCCTTTTCCCACTCTTAGGTTCTTGGGCTAAAAATCAGAAGGGCTTTTTTCCCCCTAAAAAAACCCTTCGTAATGAGGGAGTTTTAGCCTGAACTCCAATAGAGACCAATTTTGAACGGAGGAAGACACCCCCCACCCAAAATATCACCTTTTACGTCCGAGGGTGGAAAGGGACTGTCCGCGTGATGTTGGCGCCTACTTACTAAATTGAAATTGCTAGATGCCCGCCTCTTCGCAAATGAAAATCAGAGGCCGAAGGTCCACCCGGGGGATTGCCAACACCCTTGCACCACACAGAGGTCTTTCCAAGGAAGGGGCGGGCGCGGGAGAGAGAGCCAGGGAGACTTCAGGGAGGTCCTGTCGGGGGCTGTACGCTCCGCAGCGGTTGGGACGCCTCCAGTTGTGTCTCTAAAACCCCATGGGCAGGGCAGGGATCTGGATCCCGTGGAGCCAGGCCGTGATTGGAGGCCCGGGCCGGAGAGAGGGCACCAACCCACCCCGACCCTGTAGCTCCCACTCACGGAGAAGTGCTGTCTAATTGGGCAGTGAGCAGCTGGGAAATTTGTAATCATCTAATAAGGTTTCCACCTCGGTAATTCTTATCAAAAGGCATAAAACTGATATTTTCACACTCAGCTCACACCGCAGGCGCCGTTTATAAACATCCTTCATCAGTGGGATGAAATTAAGCCTGCATTGACAGAGGTCCCTGGAACTCGATATTTAAAAGCAATAGATCCGAATTAGCAAATTGTTACTTGAAATAAAGTCCCCGCCAACTTCACGACGGAGCCCTTTGCCTGCGAGCTCCTCGAAGCGAGTTAGCACACATTTGCAGAAACTGAACCTGAAGCTTGCCAGCATTGAGGCAATCACGAGTCGGCTCCCTGAATCGCCGTGTGCTCGGCTCCCAGCTCACCGAGCGAGCGAATGCGCAAGGCTCGCCTCGGTCACAGCCGTGGGGACCTCGGGAAGGCGCGGTGCAGCCGGGAGGAGCCCGTTTCATGACGCTCTGCAGCCAGCACTCTGGGGCCCACGGTTGCGGGATCAGCACATTCGCGGCCCAGCCCGAGGCCCTCCTACAGCACCAGGGACCGGTGGCCCAGGCCTGTCAAAGGCAAAGGGTGCGGCAGACCCGCGCCTGCGGAGGGAGCCGCCTGCAGTGCTGCTGGTGACGACTCCTCGGAGCCCCAAAGGGAAAATCTCCAGCAAGGCCGCTTGGAAACTGCGAATGTCAAGGGATGCCCTTGGATTTTTGCCTAGGCAGGCTATTACTAATGTCAGTCTGGGAAGGGACCGGGAGAGAGAACTTCTAGAAGTTGTTCCCGCAGACTTGCCCTGCTCGGAACCGCGTCACTTCTTGCAGGTCGCAGAGCCGGAGACTCTCCTTTGGGACTTCCTGGCGGCCCCAGGCTCCTTTTTAGACCACCTCCCCCGCAGTTGTCGGGGCGGAGGGGACGTGTTTCTGAAGCTTGGTGGCGTTTCTCTCTCAAGTGTGCCTGGCGCCGGACGCTCGGGGACACGCAGTGCGCAGACCCGGCCTCGTCCACTTGGTCAGGTCAAAAGAGCACCCAGATCCAGCTGTCCCCAGGGAGCTGGAGCCCCAGCCTCGGAAGCCCGGTTCTGCGCCCAGAGCTTGGCTCTGCCCTTGCTCTCGGCTCAGAGCGCAGTAAACTCCCGGGCGAGGAGCCGCGTTTTCCGCCTAAGAGGGGAAAGGAGGAGAGAAATACATTTAGGAGCCACGTGGAGCCTGAGATTAGAAGAGAGGGGGCCTGGTGCACTCCCGGCTAAATGCTGCCGCTAGAAACGCGAAAGTACTTTGGCCCGTTTACTCGTTGTGTGACATCTCCAAGCCCAAAATCTCGCCTTCGGCACGTCTGTGGTTCGGAGCTGCAGGTTTTATATTAATTTTGACTTTTACAATGAGCACAAAAAAGCAGGACCAGTGGAAACTTGATTCTATCGTTTCTCCTTCAGAGCTGTTTGTACAACTCTGTAAAAACCATAGTACTGTACAAGGTGGGAAAGGGTAAAATTTGCAGCCTCTACAAGCCAGGGTTTTCCCTGCAAGTTCCAGGCACCCTGGCTCGAGCTACACCCTTGAGCTCCCGGAAACCCGCTGCTCCAAGCGCCCCACCCTCCACTGTCCCAGTCCCAGGTAGTCCTTGAAAGCCAAATTAAAGTCAGTTAAACTTGATTCAAGTGCAGAAACGGAGTGCTGGACGGGTTCCTCGGTGAGGGGGGTGGTGCAGGCATCTTCTCAACCTCCTGCTGGGTTTTGAATAAGGTGGTGGGAGGGAGCCCAGGTAAAATGGTCCCGCCCACAGCCTTGGTGTCTACAGCTCACCCAGGCAAAACTTCCAGGCCTCCTCCTTGCTCGGCTGATGCATCTTGGAAAACAATACTTTTACCAAAAAAGAAAACCAAAAAAGTCTGTGGTAAAATCTTAAGCTACTATAAAAGTTAAAAATCTCTTTATACCGGCTTCTGGAGCAGGAGACTATGCTTGTGACTGTAGCTGTGTTTTTCTTCCTTCCGCTCTTCCCCCTTTCTCGCTTACCCCTTCCCTGCTTGCCTGTATTTCCTTCCTCCGTGGAAGTCCAGGGTTTCAGAGCTAAGTCGCGCACTACTTTTTTGTAT